TCTCTCACACTAATTAATTGGCATCTATATAATTTGAAACAAGTTTCGATGGATCTATTATTGTTATATTACATTCTTACACTCTTGTATTAGGGTTTCTATATTTGTTTCCTTTGTGATAATCTCTTTAGCAAAGCCAATATTATTTTATACTTAAAAGAAAATTTATTATTAGGAGCACATATATTATTATTGTTTTTTATAAAGCAATTCAAATTGGGGAGGACAAATTAGTTGACTTATGACCGAATTACCTACGATACATTTATAGTCGGAAGTTGTGGTATAATAATAATAATAATATGTGAATTATTTAACCCAAAATCAATTGACAATCGTGAAGAAGTCCAAAATCTTTGAAGTACTACTATTGCAAAACTTTCATTCAATGTAGTATACTCTCAACATTCCATCCAATATAAGAATATTGTCAAATTAGCAATTTTTCTTGGATTCCACATTACGCAAAGAATTTGGAACATGCAAACCCACACAAGACATTAGGGAAGTCTACTTATAATTGCTAAAACCATGGTCCATGTAAATGAGGAAAGACTATCTGAATCTGGATCATGAGTGTGCAATATACCACTAACGTTACTATGATTATTCATCACGATGACATCCACTGCGTGTTGAAAACTTGAAATGACAATGTAGAAAGAATAATACGATGAACACGTTTTCATGGAAAGATAAACTACCATTACACTTTTCGATGGCCGAAAGCATGCTTCAAATGTGTCCAACTCCCCTATTCATTTGATCTAATTTTCATCCAAAAAAAAGAAGATACAAGAAAGGAAAATCATTATAGTCAAAATATTGGTTGGGAAATTAAATAAAAATTTGCAATATACTTTAGAAACCCATCCCCATAGGAATTCACTGATGCTCTCATGTCCACTTATTTTAAAACCTGAAATCAAGTGAAGATATGATAAAACATAAAGAAATTACGACAAATCACTAGAGTATCCTAAAGTACAAAGAAATTATTGTTGTATATTGATACGTGATATATAATGATATTACGAATCTACATACCTAAATTATAACACGTGTACAATATCATTAACATCTATATCATAAATAAACCTTACTCAACGCATCGTATTACATATATGTATATGGATGGATTCGTATGACCACTGCCGCATACAGTATATATATATATATATATATATATATATATATATATATATATATATTCATGTAATTTCTTAATTTTTCGGGTATAGTATCTTGTCCCAGCCAGCCCATGTGGTACACAAACCACACATTCCTTTGATAATTTGTTGGCACAGTTCATAGCATATATATCTGTCATGCTCATCCTCATATATATGTGTGAGTAGGACAGAGAAAGAGAGATATAGAAGTGGTTTGTGCTGTTGTTGAAGTCTTTCTGAGTCTCTACAGTACTGCCTCCTTTTACACAACCTTAAGAAGACGGTAAGGAATATTTTCCAGCATTTTACGTTTACTAGTTGACCACACGAACCGCACTGTGAATTGCACAAACAGACCTTTTTCATACCAACAGGTTGTACGGAGAAAGTGCTTGCACCACAGCAAACTCCACTAAGAAGAAGAAGAAGAAGAAGAAGAAGAAGAAGAAGAGCTTAATTGATTAGTTGAAGAACGAATATTTATATATGGAAGGAGATCAAAGAGGGGTTCCGAGTTATGAAGTTCAGATTTCGTTTTCGAGCACCCCAAACCCTCAACAATCGATCCACGAAATGGGGTTTGTGCAGTTCGAAGATCATCATCCTCATCATAATCAGGTTTTGAGCTTCATGGCCCCATCGTCACATATACAGCAGCAGCAGCCTAACAATTCTCATCACCCTCATCATCATCAGCCAGCTGAGCTCAGCAGCGGTGCCTCCGCCGCCACCACCACCACCAGCAACGGCGTTACCGTGGGGTTTAGTACTCATACTGACCTACTTGTTGCAAGACCTTCTTGGAATATTAGTAACGACCAGGTGGTTCAATCTTGAATTTGAAAAGAAGCATGAAATTGGAGACATTATTTCCTTGCTTTTCCATGTTATATATGTTAATTTTTTGCCTGTCCATCAAATGGGTTATAGATTTCATCCAAAGAAAGAATCAGTTATACGCGTTGTCGGATTTTATTTTTGTAGTCTTATAATTGTGTCTTTTTTTATGGAAAATTTAGGTGGGAACGTTGGATCCAAAGGCTATTAGTGATGAAAACGGGACTGGTAATGCTAGTGATTGCAGCAACTCATGGTATTTACTTACTTTATAGGTTTTAATTTGTTCCTCTCTCTTCCTCTCTACCCAGTTAGATCTCAATCTCTCTCTCTCTCTCTCTCTCTCTCCAAAGTACACACATGCATATGTACATGCACAAATGCGTGCGCACATCTAAGAATGCATTCTAAAAGCTCTTGTACCAGAATCTTAGAAAGATTTAGCCACTTATAGAAGAGAGAGAATATTGCTTCTGTGTTGCCTTTTGTACGTCCTACACCATGTTCTTATATATTCTCTCTCTCTCTCTCTCTCTCTCTCTCTCTCTCTCTCTGCGTGTGTTCCTGCGCCAGTCTTTCGTTGTGGCCATATGGCAGTATATCGATCAAGTACTTGACACAGAGATTCCAATTATATAGATCCCACCATGACAGGATACAGATCTTTTATCTTATTTTCGTATCACACATTAATTTGTTCTATATATATAAATATATTATTGTATAAGAATGCTTTTTATACAATAATATATGTATATATATTATTGTATAAAAGTAAATTAAAGATATCAGGCAATCAATTAATTAGCGAGTAGATGAGTGGTAAATCTGGTTTTCATGCATCAATTAGCTGGTATATATGTATTAAGAGAGGAGGAGCTTGAAATTAATTAATTATTTGACAGGTGGAGGAGCTCAAGCTCAGAGAAGAGCAAGATGAAGGTGAGGAGAAAGCTTAGGGAGCCAAGATTCTGTTTCCAAACCAGAAGTGATGTGGATGTGCTTGATGATGGTTACAAATGGAGGAAATATGGCCAGAAAGTTGTCAAGAACAGCCTTCATCCTAGGTATACTTAATTTTATTTCTATGGCTATTTAGTCTTTCATATTTATCGTATACATCATATATTGGTACAAATGCATATCTATAGAGGTTCAGAATGAGTATATGGTTTGCACCAACTTTCAACTTTTTTTTTATACAAGCCATATGGGGAGGGAAGAATCGAACCTAAGACCTCGGGTGTAGGAGTAAATATTTTTAACCACTTTTGAGCTACAAGCCCCTTGCCAACTTTCAACCTAGGTTTTACTTAATTGTTCACCAATGCCTAGGGGTATAGAATATATATGCAGGATATGATTGTCTATTTTTAGTATTTAGATGTATGCAATCGGTGACAATTATTTACAAATTAAAAAATTAATGGTGTAGATTATTCGCAATTTTTGGCACCAATAGAAAAAAATTATGAGAATACACATGTGAAATACACTTTACATAACTGGAAATGTTCATCATTCTTGAAGGAACTAAGGAAGTTGGAGTTCAAGTCCCAAAACCAACTAACAATTTGTGGAGTGACTCGATCCTTATAAACCATTGCAAGGTTTCTTAATTTTCCTATGCGGGATCATTCTTCACATCCTCACACACAATTCCTAACACGTAGACAATTTAATTAAGTGACGTGAAGCACGTGTGACCATTGGACTTCACACATAATACCATGTGCTATTGTCTAACAAAGTTATACGTTTGTTATCAATTCTAAGATCATGTACTTTCATCTATGTTGTGCGCATATATATGTTTTCTTCTCAAAACCACAATTCATTGGTGTTGTATGTATCAAGGAACACCTTCCATAATAGTTACTTCTCCACCTTTTATTACTAATTGGTTTTGTGTTAGATGCATCTCATATTATTATGCAATTCGCATATCTAACTCAATGGTCACGTGCTTTAATTAGCGTCACCTAATTTAATTAACTCAATCAACATATGAGGAGCGGTGTTGAGAATGTTAATTATCTCATATTATAATTAACCACAATTCTAAAGTATATCCCACGTTGCATATGAGTGATATATTTAGAGATCATGAGAGGGTTTTAGTTTGTTGTTGTTGTGCTGAAACTGAATGGCATAAATTTATTATGAATGCAGAAGCTACTACCGCTGTACTCACAGTAACTGTCGGGTGAAGAAAAGGGTTGAACGACTGTCTGAAGATTGTCGAATGGTGATAACAACCTATGAAGGTAGACACAACCACTCCCCTTGCGATGACTCTAATTCCTCTGAACATGAATGCTTTAGCTCTTTCTAATCATATATATAGCTCATCATCAGTTACAGAACAAAAGTATATTTTAGTACGTAATATTGTTGTAATGATTTACAATATTTAATGTATCCTTATTAGCTTGTTCTGTACAATCTTTTGCCAGATTGAGATAATATTTTTATTTAATTATGGTAATTTATCAGATTGATTTCTTTTTCTTTGGGAATTTCATATTCTGAGTATATATTATAATGAAACTAAGGCATGCATCTGCTTTTAGTCTACTGTATAAGACCCAGGGGTTAATTATATTAATTTGGTCATCTTATCCAATTGTTTATTTGATCTCACCACATGCATCAGCTTCTTAATTTGGGTCAAAACACTGTTTAAATTATGAGCTTTGTGTTGATTGGTAACCTAGCAGAGGATGCCCTAAGCAAGCAAGACGGCTGCTTAGGATATATATATATATATATATATATATATATATATATATTCATGTAATTTCTTAATTTTTCGGGTATAGTATCTTGTCCCAGCCAGCCCATGTGGTACACAAACCACACATTCCTTTGATAATTTGTTGGCACAGTTCATAGCATATATATCTGTCATGCTCATCCTCATATATATGTGTGAGTAGGACAGAGAAAGAGAGATATAGAAGTGGTTTGTGCTGTTGTTGAAGTCTTTCTGAGTCTCTACAGTACTGCCTCCTTTTACACAACCTTAAGAAGACGGTAAGGAATATTTTCCAGCATTTTACGTTTACTAGTTGACCACACGAACCGCACTGTGAATTGCACAAACAGACCTTTTTCATACCAACAGGTTGTACGGAGAAAGTGCTTGCACCACAGCAAACTCCACTAAGAAGAAGAAGAAGAAGAAGAAGAAGAAGAGCTTAATTGATTAGTTGAAGAACGAATATTTATATATGGAAGGAGATCAAAGAGGGGTTCCGAGTTATGAAGTTCAGATTTCGTTTTCGAGCACCCCAAACCCTCAACAATCGATCCACGAAATGGGGTTTGTGCAGTTCGAAGATCATCATCCTCATCATAATCAGGTTTTGAGCTTCATGGCCCCATCGTCACATATACAGCAGCAGCAGCCTAACAATTCTCATCACCCTCATCATCATCAGCCAGCTGAGCTCAGCAGCGGTGCCTCCGCCGCCACCACCACCACCAGCAACGGCGTTACCGTGGGGTTTAGTACTCATACTGACCTACTTGTTGCAAGACCTTCTTGGAATATTAGTAACGACCAGGTGGTTCAATCTTGAATTTGAAAAGAAGCATGAAATTGGAGACATTATTTCCTTGCTTTTCCATGTTATATATGTTAATTTTTTGCCTGTCCATCAAATGGGTTATAGATTTCATCCAAAGAAAGAATCAGTTATACGCGTTGTCGGATTTTATTTTTGTAGTCTTATAATTGTGTCTTTTTTTATGGAAAATTTAGGTGGGAACGTTGGATCCAAAGGCTATTAGTGATGAAAATGGGACTGGTAATGCTAGTGATTGCAGCAACTCATGGTATTTACTTACTTTATAGGTTTTAATTTGTTCCTCTCTCTTCCTCTCTACCCAGTTAGATCTCAATCTCTCTCTCTCTCTCTCTCTCTCTCCAAAGTACACACATGCATATGTACATGCACAAATGCGTGCGCACATCTAAGAATGCATTCTAAAAGCTCTTGTACCAGAATCTTAGAAAGATTTAGCCACTTATAGAAGAGAGAGAATATTGCTTCTGTGTTGCCTTTTGTACGTCCTACACCATGTTCTTATATATTCTCTCTCTCTCTCTCTCTCTCTCTCTCTCTCTCTCTCTGCGTGTGTTCCTGCGCCAGTCTTTCGTTGTGGCCATATGGCAGTATATCGATCAAGTACTTGACACAGAGATTCCAATTATATAGATCCCACCATGACAGGATACAGATCTTTTATCTTATTTTCGTATCACACATTAATTTGTTCTATATATATAAATATATTATTGTATAAGAATGCTTTTTATACAATAATATATGTATATATATTATTGTATAAAAGTAAATTAAAGATATCAGGCAATCAATTAATTAGCGAGTAGATGAGTGGTAAATCTGGTTTTCATGCATCAATTAGCTGGTATATATGTATTAAGAGAGGAGGAGCTTGAAATTAATTAATTATTTGACAGGTGGAGGAGCTCAAGCTCAGAGAAGAGCAAGATGAAGGTGAGGAGAAAGCTTAGGGAGCCAAGATTCTGTTTCCAAACCAGAAGTGATGTGGATGTGCTTGATGATGGTTACAAATGGAGGAAATATGGCCAGAAAGTTGTCAAGAACAGCCTTCATCCTAGGTATACTTAATTTTATTTCTATGGCTATTTAGTCTTTCATATTTATCGTATACATCATATATTGGTACAAATGCATATCTATAGAGGTTCAGAATGAGTATATGGTTTGCACCAACTTTCAACTTTTTTTTTATACAAGCCATATGGGGAGGGAAGAATCGAACCTAAGACCTCGGGTGTAGGAGTAAATATTTTTAACCACTTTTGAGCTACAAGCCCCTTGCCAACTTTCAACCTAGGTTTTACTTAATTGTTCACCAATGCCTAGGGGTATAGAATATATATGCAGGATATGATTGTCTATTTTTAGTATTTAGATGTATGCAATCGGTGACAATTATTTACAAATTAAAAAATTAATGGTGTAGATTATTCGCAATTTTTGGCACCAATAGAAAAAAATTATGAGAATACACATGTGAAATACACTTTACATAACTGGAAATGTTCATCATTCTTGAAGGAACTAAGGAAGTTGGAGTTCAAGTCCCAAAACCAACTAACAATTTGTGGAGTGACTCGATCCTTATAAACCATTGCAAGGTTTCTTAATTTTCCTATGCGGGATCATTCTTCACATCCTCACACACAATTCCTAACACGTAGACAATTTAATTAAGTGACGTGAAGCACGTGTGACCATTGGACTTCACACATAATACCATGTGCTATTGTCTAACAAAGTTATACGTTTGTTATCAATTCTAAGATCATGTACTTTCATCTATGTTGTGCGCATATATATGTTTTCTTCTCAAAACCACAATTCATTGGTGTTGTATGTATCAAGGAACACCTTCCATAATAGTTACTTCTCCACCTTTTATTACTAATTGGTTTTGTGTTAGATGCATCTCATATTATTATGCAATTCGCATATCTAACTCAATGGTCACGTGCTTTAATTAGCGTCACCTAATTTAATTAACTCAATCAACATATGAGGAGCGGTGTTGAGAATGTTAATTATCTCATATTATAATTAACCACAATTCTAAAGTATATCCCACGTTGCATATGAGTGATATATTTAGAGATCATGAGAGGGTTTTAGTTTGTTGTTGTTGTGCTGAAACTGAATGGCATAAATTTATTATGAATGCAGAAGCTACTACCGCTGTACTCACAGTAACTGTCGGGTGAAGAAAAGGGTTGAACGACTGTCTGAAGATTGTCGAATGGTGATAACAACCTATGAAGGTAGACACAACCACTCCCCTTGCGATGACTCTAATTCCTCTGAACATGAATGCTTTAGCTCTTTCTAATCATATATATAGCTCATCATCAGTTACAGAACAAAAGTATATTTTAGTACGTAATATTGTTGTAATGATTTACAATATTTAATGTATCCTTATTAGCTTGTTCTGTACAATCTTTTGCCAGATTGAGATAATATTTTTATTTAATTATGGTAATTTATCAGATTGATTTCTTTTTCTTTGGGAATTTCATATTCTGAGTATATATTATAATGAAACTAAGGCATGCATCTGCTTTTAGTCTACTGTATAAGACCCAGGGGTTAATTATATTAATTTGGTCATCTTATCCAATTGTTTATTTGATCTCACCACATGCATCAGCTTCTTAATTTGGGTCAAAACACTGTTTAAATTATGAGCTTTGTGTTGATTGGTAACCTAGCAGAGGATGCCCTAAGCAAGCAAGACGGCTGCTTAGGGCCCCCAGATTGAGAGGGCCCCAATTTGTATAAACCCCTATATATACATACCTATGTTATTTTAAAAGAATTATTACGTAAAGTTAATTGATACTTTTGCATTGAAAATGGAAGACGAGTGATATTTAAGTGATGTTTTGAATCTTGATGTATTTTATAAAGTTGTTATATAAATTGCATTTTGTTTATTTCTTTTATATTACAATTGTAAATTTGAGTTCAAATAATATTTTTTTAATCTATTGAAAAAAAACCACATAAATATACATATAAAGTAAAAGGCCTCATTTAAATTATTCGCCTAGAGCCTCCAAAACATAGGACCGCCGCTCTAAACTAGCTTACAAAATAGTCCACCACACATGTTTTTGTTTTTTTGGACAACACCACACTGGTATATAAACGAGTTCTTGTGTGGAAAAGTAGTTAGAGAACTTAGATCAATATGAAATAATACGAGGATTACATCCAACTATGGATATAACTTTGAACTCCACAGCTCTCTATATACCAATCCACGACACCAGAAATAGGACAATGCAAACTCAGATTTGGCCACGCCACGTTTCCTCATATTTTATACATTCAATATGTAATGTATAATTACCTTCTTGAAAATAATCCAAGAGATTGCTTGGGGCTTTGGTTACCGTTCTTAAGGAGCTTGGTGAGTCGATTGACTCATGATATGATCCAGCTTTTTTCTATTTTTCTTTTCAGTTATTGACCCAAAAAAAACAAAAAAGGTTACTAGTGGCTTTCCAATTAATTCCCCTCATGACTTTATAGGAGTTGTTATTGAGACACTAATAATGATAACTAAAATTAGTAGCAACTATCATTAAGTGATGATCTAGTGACTAATCAATCATTAATCATTTTTCTCAGAAGTTAGTGAATATAAGAATCAGTGCACACCTACCTGTGTTCTTTTTCTCCTTTTGTTCTGGTCATCATGTAATCAGATTTTACACGGAGTTACTATAAACCATCAACACCCTCGTTTTTCATTTATTGTTAGAACTCTCGATACATATATTATTGTATTCTATTTCATATTGCGAGGAGTCGAACTTTTATTGTGAGCGCAAGACTACATTGTCCAAATATCTAACAACAATGTCCTGATTTGGCATAAATCAAGCATGACCAACTTCAGTTTTTACTGAAATCCAATTGAATGTTATTGAGTTTCACCATTGACAAAGATGTAAAAACCGTCTATAGCTGATTTTGTTTTGGGTTTTTATTTAATTATTTATTTATATGCAAGTGATAGTTTAAAATAATCTAATCAATAAGGAGATGAATACAAACTTAGATGTAAGAGGGCGGACGCATTACTCTGGCCAAGTGGCTTGTGCTGGTTGTTTTCGGTTTAGTTTAGCTATATTTGGTACTATGAATACTTGAAATTTGAATGTCACAACTCACAAACTTTGCTGCTTTTTCTGTAATCGCTTTTCTGGCTAAAATGCCAATCCACCAGGTGCATTTGATTGAGCTCAAAAGGAGTTTATACACGAGGCCCATAGCTCTCAGCCTGTTGTAGAAGGGCTCATCGCATCTCTTAAGCCCAATGTTACATTTTTATCAATCATGACTAACCTAAAAAAGAAAGAAAAAGTAGATGTAAATGGTTTAGCCATTTCATTTAGATGACATTATTCAATTATGATTTCAATATCATACAAATAATTTAAATAAGTTACTCAACCCGACTTCTTTTGTACCAAATTGCGCAGTCGTATACATATTGGCACATTTACATGCAACTGTAACTGTAACTGTAACTAACAACTTAGTACAACGATCAATTTCACCCTGGATCTTTAATGTCCACATCAAAATCCACAATCAGAGGTTCTTACCATCTTTTTCAGATAATAATATACAGTCCAAATAAAATTAAAAAGACAGTTGCAAACACATTATCCAACCTCCTATCATATTTAACACATTATCCACTCATTGATATAAACCCTACAAAGTTCCCCAACCTAGTATCATGAAAAGCTTTGTTGGCTCAATGGCAAATCAATCATGGCACACTATCTTCTTATCTAAACATCATGATACCAGGTCACGGGTGCTTGGATTCAGGGTTTGCCTAGAAACCTACTAAGACTGGTTGTGGGTAGGGGTGGGCATCAAAACCGGAATACCGAAACCATCCCAAAACCGTGCCAATCTCGTGTCGTCTCATTTGGTGTTGACGTGTAACCGGGATGATATCGTGTCATCCCGTTACTGTTTGGCACGACACCGGTTCTAGATTTTTGATCCCGTTTGGTGCCATATCGTACCGAAAAATACAGGTAAATAATAATCCTAATTTAATTTCAGTTCCTCCTCTCTCTCCCACATACATTTCAATTCAGCTTTGTTTCTCCTCCATCCTTTCCTTTCCTTCCCTCTATCTATTGCCCACAGGCCACATTGATCATTTGGCTTCTGGAGAAATCTAGAGACCCACAGAAACCTCTCTCTCTTTGCAAGCATTTGCCTCCTTCCTACTTTTTACAGTGACATACTCCTAACCCTCCAAAAGCTCCAGACTTTCAGGTTGTCTTTCTCCACTCTCCACCAATCTAATCAAGTTAAATCCCAAAAAAGTCAAAAATTAGCAGCATTCCAATTTTCATAATTCTTTAGGATCACAAAAGCAATGCAAAAATCATCCATGGAAGAACACTTTATCTCATAATGAATGCAGATGAAGACGATGAAGAAGAAGAGGAAGGAGGTGGAGGAGCTTAACCAAGTCAACAATGACTTCTCTGACTACTCTCTGTCTTCCCCTGCCAGAAAGATTCGTCACCTGGTATGCAAAAGTTCCAATCTTTTCCGCTATGTGAGATTTGATTTCCATTTTACTTGAACTTTGTATGAGATTTCCATTGGTTGGTCTTGAATTAAGACTCTTGATTGTTTATTTTGTTGTATTACGCTTGATTCCTGAAATTTTGCAGGATTTTTTACGTATCAACATTGATACTGAATCATACCGGTCTCGTTTGGGTCCGGTATGGTTTGAACGTGTTTTCAAAAACTCTCATCCTGTGTCATCCCATCTCAATTCCCCTATCCGAGATTGACACCGGAATGACATCCATCCTGTATCATCCCGTACCATGCCCAACCCTAGTTGTGGGTTTGGTTTGGTGCCGGATTAGCATCCAGGTTCATTGAACCAAATTAGGTCTTTGTCTTGTGGACTTTAATGACACGGTACAAGTCATTTGGCAATAAAAGCACTAATTTGAATTTGATTGCAACGCGAAAACAATCATAGTTGTAAAAAAAAAAAAACCTCTCCATGTTCAATGAACTTGGCCAAGTTTGTTCTTTTTGAAATTTTAGTGTTAGGTTTTCACCAAATCCAACCATCATGATGTATGTAGACATACATGATGATTAGATGAGATCTGCATGAGTGATTATTTCTTAATATCTGGAGGACATATTTGTTGAGAGAATTGTCTGTTTCAGCATAAAAAGGGTAGTGGTTAATGTCACATCCCGGGATCGGGTCCGCCGTAACACGATATTTTCCACTTTGGGCCCCCCTCTCTGCCCTCACGGTTTTGTTTCTGGGAACTCAAGAGCAACTTCCCAGTGGGTCACCCATCTTGGGATTGCTCTAGCCCTAACTTGCTTAACTTCAGAGTTCCCATGAATCTGAAGCCAGTGAACTCCCAAAAGGTCTCGTGCTATATGGAGGTGGGCATGTACATATAAGACACATCACCCCTTCTCCGTTGGTCGATGTGGGATCTCCTCTCTCTCTTTTTTCTTCCTTTCTTTCCTTCTCTCTTCTCTCCTTTCTTTCTCTATTTTTTTTCTTTTCCTTCTCTCTTCTCTCATCTCTCTATCTTTTTTTTTCTCTTTCTTTTCCTTATATTTTCTCTCCTCTCTTGGTTTTTTATTTAAATTTTTTCAGTTGTGAGTTTTGTAACATGCATGCTATTATTTATGAACCCGTTACACGACTCGAAACCCGCACGATAAAAGATGACCCGAACCTGACAAGACACGTTTATTAAATGGGTTGGGTTCGGGTTGAGCATTCTTGACACGTTTATTATCCCGACACGACACGAACCATTGCCAGCCCTACCCAAAAGGCCTCGTTCTACATGGAGGTGGGCATGTACATATAAGGCATATCACCCTTTCTCCGTTGGTCGATGTAGGATGTTACAGTTAATTTGAAAATAAAAGCCTCCATCAAGAGTTAGTTCTCATGATGATCAGTTTTGACCTTCTAACAACCAACTCTTTTATTTCTCGTTTATCTCTTGTAAACCCAACTTGCACTGACGAAAAATCTTCACGAGAATGGGGAGGAAACTTGGCCCTCTTTTCTGGCATTAAATGGTTATGGGGAGTGGTTTTCCGATTTAACCTTTCTACCAACTCCCCAGTACGTCCTCTGCCCTATTTGACGTCTTGTCTTTGGAATCACGTGGGCATTTGTGGAGAGAAAATCATCCCTCTTTGTATGTTGATTTGATTTCTAAATTTGTGATCAACAGTGATGATCAAACTTCGAGTCTTTGGAGACAACAAAAGCTGGGTTTAAATTTAAACCAATTAAATATGGTTTTTTCCCATATTAAATCACCATTAATGGCAATTGATCTTTAACCTGAAAATTTATTTCTTGCAATAGGTTCGCAATGGTCTGGGCCTT